TTGATTTTAATGTGTTTACAGACCTGTTTTATGGATTAATTTGTAGGCAAATGAATGGAATTTCGCCTAGTGTGCCTCTATGTAAATAAGAACCGAGCCACACAGTTGCCCAGATCTCTCTGCCACAAACTACGCCTGCCACAATTCAACAGAAGGCATTGGGATACTTACACACATTTGTGCTTATTGTAAATGCATCACTTCTAGGACGTGTCCTGAAGGAAATAAACCACGGTGCCCAAAATAATTACCAAACTGTCTGAAAATTAGGTAACTACCTTAAGGAATCACAGGAGATTCATATAATGGAATATACAGCCTCTGACATTGAAAAAGATCTTTTAATGACATAGAAAAGTGTTATGATCCTGAACAAAAACAACAAAAATCCATATATAAAAGCAACATATAGTTTTGGTTAATAAGGGAGGAGCTGACATGGAAAATCCCCCTTTCTACTTCAAACACAGAGAAATGCTGATAAAAATGAGCAAATTTAAAAATTATATCACCAAGTGCCAAATAAAACAAACACAGCACTTTGGGAGGCCAAGGTGGGCAGATGACTTGATGTCAGGAGTTCGAGACCAGCCTGGCCAACATAGTGAAACCCCATCTCTACTAAAAATGCAAAAATTAGCCAGGCATGGTGGTGGACACTGGCAGTCCCAGCAATTCAGGAGGCTGAGGCAGGATAATCGCTTGAACCCAAGAAGCGGAGGTTGCAGTGAGCTGAGATCATGCCACTGTGCTCTAGCTTTGGCGACAGTTCGAGACTCCGTCTCAAAAAACAAACAAAAACAAAATAAAACAAACAAACAAAGGAAATTCACTGGTGCCAAAACCAAGAAGGAAACACAGTGTGAGTGACCTGGCAGGAGCTGAAGCTAAGCAACCTGGAAGGAGTGGAGCCAGAGGTGCATGCATGCAGACGAAAGCCACACCACAATGGGTCCTGGCCATCCAAGGGGAGCACAGGGTACCTGGCCACATTCCAGCTGAGAGTGGAAATGAGTAACCTGCATCAAGTCAGATCCACAAAGAGCTGCTCCATCCATCAACTAGGCACCAGAAAAACTCCACACACTGGCCCATGGAAAAGAAAAGGAATCTAGTCATCCATCCAGGGTCACAGGTGAAAAGAAAATCACCAGCAAAACAAATAAAACAACAGGTTTGCATTAAGCAGGGCTGCAGTCCAAATTCATGGAAACTCAAAACTGAAAAATAATATGAAAATGAGTCTAGAGCTACTGAAACTCATAGCATCCCCTGAAGATGCTCATGTCACAGTGCTCTGAAGGGGCACACTCACAATCCATGGTGTATTGGACATCTATGGTAAATACCTACTGGAGACAAGACGATAATACATGTGACAAACCACAGAAGAAAATGAACCACCATGCCTCACCTCCAGTTTGGGGATATATTATAATTGTATGTACAATATGACTCAAGCTACATTAAAAGCATGTGCATATACAGGAAAAAAAATCTCAAAATGTGAATAACGGTTGGCCTGAAGCGGCAGGATGCAGGAATATGGATGAATTTTTAAAAATCTGTTTATTGATCAGGAATTGAAATATAAATGTTCACAGGAGCCAGGTTGTTAACACTGAAGGAAGTGGGCAGGGCGGAGCTGGGAGATCCCATGCCATGGGAGTAGCCATTGCTCAGCTCCATCTGCCCCCACATAAGAGTGCAAGCATAGGGTGGCGATATCTTTCTAATTTCCTAAATATAAATTTTTATACAAATACATCTCAGGTTTAAAATGCTGACTGTTAATTCCATTTTTATTACTACCTTATGAAGGCCACTTATGTATAAGTCTAACAAAACATGCAGAATTTGTATGCTGAAAATTATAAAATGGTGATGAAAGAAAGCAAAGATCTAAATAAATGGAAAGATATACCATGTTCATGGATTGGAAGAAAACATAGTAAAAATGTCATTTCTCCCCAAATTGATAAACAGGTTTAACATAATTCCTATCAAAATCCCAACAAACTCTTTCTCTTTTCTTTCTTTCTTTTTTTTTTTTTTTTTTTTTTTTGAGACAGGGTCTTGCTCTGTCACCCAGGCTGGTGTGCAGTGGCAAGGTCATAGCTCACTGCAACTTCAACCTACTGGGCTCAAGCGATCCTCCCACCTCAGTCTCCTGAGTTGCTGGGACTACAGGCATGTGCCACTACACCTGGATGATTTTTTAATTTTTTGTAGAGATGGCAAACAAGCAATGAATAGATACTCAACATCACTAACCACCGGGGGAATGCAAATTAAGACCATGATAAGGTATCACTACACACAGGTTATGCAGGTTAAGATAAAAACTTGTGACAATACCAAATGTTGTCAAAGATGCAGCAGAACACTCTCTCATGCATTGCTGGTGGGAATGTAAAATGGCACAACCACTCTAGAAAAGCATTTGGCAGTTTCTTAAAAAACAAAACAGGCAAGTGCCATATGACCCAGCAACAGCACTCCTGGGCATCTAACACAGAGAAATGAAAACTTATGTCCACACAGAAACCTGGACATAACTGTTTAAAGCTTTATTTGTAATAGCCCTAGACTGTACCAGATGGCCTACAATAGGTAAATGGTTAAAAAAAACCTCTATGGTACATCCATATTACCTGATTAGTGGAATATTACTACTCAGCAATACATGGGAATGAACTAGTGGTTCTCACAACAACTTGGGTGGATCCCAAGGGCATTCTGCTGAGTGAAAAATACCTCAAAAAGTCATTTTCCATTTTTATGACATTTTCAAATGCCACAATTATCAAACAAATTAATAACTGCCAGGGGTTAGGGATTGCCTGGGGGGAGACAGTGGGTAGGGAAGTGACCATAAAGGTGTAGAAGAAGGTAGATCTTTTTTCTTTTTTTTTTAGATGGAGTCTTGCTCTGTCATCCAGGCTGGAGTACAGAGACGTGATCTTGGCTCACTGCAATCTCCACCTCCTGGGTTCAAGTGATCCTCCCACCTCAGCCTTCTGAGTAGCTTGGATTATAGGCAACACCATTCCTGGCTATTTTTTGTATTTTGTTTTTAGTGGAGATGGGGTTTCATCATGTTGGCCAGGCTGGTCTTGAACTCCTGACCTCAAATGATCTGCCTGCCTCAGCCTCCCAAACTGCTGGGATTATAGGCGTGAGCCACCTTGCTTGGCCTAGAAGAAGGTAGAACTTGGTTGTGATGGAATAGCCTGTATTTTGATTGCAGCGGTAGTTATGCAAATCTATACATGTGATAAGTTGATGTAAAACTATATACACATACCATCCATTTTTTTATTTGGACAGTGTGCTATAGTTATGTAACAAGTAACCCTTGGGGAAAACTAGGTCAAGGTACACAAAACTCTACTATTTTCGCAACTTCCTCTAAATCTATAAAAAGTTAAAAAGTTAGTTGGAGGAAAGGGTCAAGAGAAAGAGAACCATTCCTTAGATTAAGCTGAAACCTACCCCATGCCATCCCTCAGGCCAAGCTTGGACAGCTCTGAATGTGGGAACAAATTTGTAAACTTTCTTAAAATATCGTGAGTTTTTTGGGGATTTTTTTTTTTTTTTTTTTTTAGCTCATCAGCTATCATTAGTGTTAGTGTATTTTACGTGTGGCCCAAGACAATTCTTCCAGTGTGGCCCAGGGAAACCTTAGACCCTCCACATGGTTCCTAATTCTTTTCTTGGAGGCCCTCAAACCATATCTGCTCAGGCATTTGCAGACAAGGAGCCTGATCTTCAGGCCTCCCCACAGCCCCTCCAACATGACAGCTTTCACTTTCTAAATCCTTTGGTACTGTTTATCTCCAAGCCCAGAGTTCTGCTCGTGAAGACATGAGGGACACTATTAATGATTAAGCTGGGGCCACAGGTGTGAACCACAAACGTCCTCAGGGTACTGGCAAACTGTCATGAAGACACCTAACAGAGAATGGATTTTAGGTAAATGTGGGAGCCAATTCTGTGGTCTGGCCTGGTCACAGGAGAAACTGGGTACCAGCTTCTCCCATGGTCAGAGCCACTCCTCCTCTTGTGTGAATCAGTCAGGGGTTCCTTTTTTTTTTTGATAGGATCTTGCTCTGTTGCTCAGGCTGGAGCGCAGTGACGTGATCCTAGGTCACTGCAGCCTCAAGCTTCAGGGCTCAAGTGATCTTCCCACCTCAGCCTCTCAAACAGCTGGGACTGCAGGTGTGCACAACCATGCCTGGCTATTTTATTTTCAGTAGAGATGGGGGTCTTATTATCTTGTCTAGGCTAGTCTCCAACTCCTGGGCTCAAGTGATCCTCCAGCCTCGGCCTCCCAAAGTGTAGAGCAGGCATTCTTCCAGCTCTCAGTGGGACAGGCCCCAGGAGGGCCTCCCACCCCAGCCCTCACTGCGAGGAGGGAGCAACAGAGGATGCAAGGGGAAGGGACCAGCCCCTGAGGCCTAAAAACACAACTTTGTCACGGTCAAAATGGTTACTTAGAATAACATCAGTCTCAACTTTCCATTCAAAATCCACAGAGAATCCAAACACCATTATGAAAGGAGAGTGAAGAAAGTACCTATTTGTGGAACAGATCTACACTCTACTTGCTTTCTTTCAGCATGGCAGTGGAATTAAAGAGATATCTGCATATTCCTTAAGCTGTGTTTTGCTTTGTTTAAGGCAATTTGGGATAATGGGCTAGTTACTCCAAGAGAGTGGCAGATGACACTAAGGAACCAGAGATTTGCCACAAAGCAAAGGAAACCGGAGCTCAGGGACCCTCACTTGCAGGGCCTGATCATGGTCTTGCACCCAATTTTGTCTGTAATTTTGTGTTCTTTTTCTAAAGAACCCTGAATTATAGAACTCCAGGCCCCACCAAACCCGATCTGCCCCTTCGCAGTTTTTATTTTTCACTGGCTCCATATTGGGGGTGCCTTGTGTCTCGGGGGAAATGTGGGTCTTTCCATGGGAATGAGGAAGAAATGTCCACTTGCCTTGAGCTTCTCGGTGGCATCTTCTATCTGGGTTATGTTGTCAACGTGCTGCTGCTTCTTGATTGCCAGCTGCTTTAAACATTCTTGGCTGAGTTTCTGTACAGGAGGGAGTTAGGAAAAAAGTCATAATACTGTCACTTTCCAAATAACAGGCCCCTCGCAGGGGTCACCTCCTCTTACCCTTGTATTCTTTTCCAATGGAGGCATCTGAAGGTGAGGTGACTTGCCCAAAGTCATGTGGCAAGTTAGTGGATGAGCTGGGACTAGGACCTCTCTGATCCTTGGAGGTCCGCGTCAGGTATGCCTCAAATCTTGATTTGCACCCCCTCCTCACACTTTACTTTATCTAGGACAAGTCTTGCTTGTGACTTGCTTTCCCAGTCTTTCAAGTAGGACTTTAAGGCAAACAGCTTGGGGTCTGGGAAAGAGCATCTACTTATTGAGTATTAACTGAGCACCTATTATGTGCTGGGCCCTGTTCCAGGTGCTGCCCTCATGAAACATACATTCCAGGGAGTCTGTGACCCTCTGGCCCTGGACTACATGAGAGGTCAGTGGGGTTCATGCTTCCTGCTCTTCCCACCTTCCATATCTCTGCTTTTTGAAATTGCTGTTTTCCCTAAAGTCTGTTCTGCACTCCCTTTCCCTAAGGGTGTGATCTCATCTCCATCTTAGCCTTTCTTACAGCTGGCCTTACACTCAGCTGCTGGGCCCAGATCTGGCCGCCCCATTGACTGGGAGCTTCTTGAGGGCAGGCTTGCTTCATTCCCACTCCCCACAGGGACCAGGGGGTGACCCAGAAGTGTTTGCTGAATTGAACAGAATTATCAGGGGCTGGTCAGTCATGATGGCTCACGTCTGTAATCCCAACACTTTGGGAGGCTGAGGTAGGAGGATCACTTGAGCCCAAGGAGTTCGAGACCAGCCTGGGCAACACAGTGAGACTCTGCCTCTACTGCAAATAAATAAATGAATAAATAAATAAATAAATTTAGCTGGGCATGGTGGCATGCACCTGTAGTCCTAGCTACTTGGGAGGATGAGGTCAGGGGCGGGTCACCTGAGCCCAGGAGGTTGCAGTGAGCCATGATTATGCCACTATGCCACAGCACTCCAGCCTGGGCAACAGAGTGAGACCCTATTTCCAAAAAAAAAAAAAAAAAAAGAATTTATCATTGGGAGCTGCCAGCTTTTCCCCCAACCAGCCAGGGAACTCTTCCAGGTCAGGGAAGGATCTGATCTATTCCTTGACTCATGGCCCAAAATGTATGCTGAATAGATGTTTGGTGAATGATGGATGGATGAATGAATAATGGGTGAATGGATAGGAAACTGGGTATGTGGATGCAAAATAAGTATTTACAGTGTCAACCTTACATAATAAGATTCAAGAGCTGAGCATGGTGGCTTGCATCTGTAATCCCAGCTACTCAGGAGGCTGAGGTGGGAGGATCACTTAAGTCCAGGAGTTTGAGACCAGCCTGGGCAACATAGCAAGACCCCATCTCTACCAAAAATCAACAAACAAAACAAAACAAAACAAAAAACCTGGCTGGGCATGGTGGAGAATGCCTCAAGTCCCAGCTGCTTGGGAGGATGACATTCACAGGCTACAGAAATGATTAGCAAAGAAATAAATTGATGGTGGCTAGCTTTGTTTAATGAACTATTCAGGCAAAATAGTTAAGAATGAAAAAATAAAATAAATGTAAATGGGATAAAAGTTTATAAATGAACATTTCATAGTTTTAAAAATTGTTTTCAGGCTGGGCACGGTGGCTAATGCCTGTAATCCCGCACTTTGGGAGGCCAAGGTGGGCAGATCACCTGAAGTCGGGAGTTCGAAACCAGTCTGACCAACATGGAGAAACCCCATCTCTACTACAAATACAAAATTAGCCAGGCGTGGTGGTGCATGCCTGTAATCCCGGCTACTTGGGAGGTTAAGGGAAGAGAATCGCTTGAACCCAGGTGGCGGAGGTTGCAGTGAGCCAAGATCGCACCATTGCACTCCAACCAGGGCAACAAGAGTGAAATTCCACCTCAAAAACAAACAAACAAACAAAAATTGTTTTCAGTAACTTAATATCACGTTATGTTAAATTAAGTAATAGGTCATCATAAAATATCTGAATCATTTATATGGTATAGAAAAGCTAAATATATTTCAATCTGTTAACAAAAAAAATTTAGGAACCATCTTTCTAGAAATTATGAAATTATTTTCATCTACAAATGCTGGTAGAAAACAGCTAAAAATTACTTACTTCCTAGGTTTTTCACTGGAAATCTGGGTTACTAAGAGTGAAAATTATAGTTAATATATATGATTAAAACTACCTGATATAAAAGAAACAATTCTATTTACAGAGGGTATAGAGAAAGTCAGATGTGCTTTTGGTAAAGACTGTTGAAAGAGTAATTTTTCTTTTGCATGAGAGAGAACTTTGTGTAGTCAAAATGATAATGGGAAAAGGGAAGTAAATTTTTGTCCTAACGTAGAATGCCAAAATAAAAAGGAAGTATAGGACAAAACTGAAGATTTAAGCAAATTCTAGATGGTCTGTGGAAGATTAATCTCGTAAAAGACATTTTGTATGTGATCAAATTGGTTAAAATAAGAAGGAAATGGCTGGGTGCAGTGGCTCATGCCTATAATCCCAGAACTTTGGGAGGCCGAGGCAGACAGATCACAAGGTCAGGAGTTTGAGACCAGCCTGACCAACACGGATAAATCCCATCTCTACTAAAAATACAAAAACTAGCTAGGTGTGGTGGCACGTGCCTATAATCACAGCTACTCAGGAGACTGAGGCAGGAGAATCACTTGAATCTGGGAGGTGGAGGTTGTAGTGAGCAGAGATCACGCCACTGCACTCCAGCCTGAGTGACAGAGCAAGACTCCATCTCAAAAAAAAAAAATCAGAAGGAAATGGCTGGTGCGATGGCTCATGGCTGTAATCTCACCACTTTGGGAGGCCGAGGCAGGTGGATCACCTGAGGTCAGGAGTTTGAGACCAGCCTGGCCAACATGGTGAAACCCAAAATTCCTTATGAAAGTACAGTGGCAGTGAGACAGTTCATGCCACTGCACTCCAGCCTGGGCAACAGCAGCGAAACTCTATCTCAAAATAAAAAAAAAAAAAAAAAGAAAAGAAAAGAAGGAAATTTTTAATAAGTTTTTCTAAAACTTAAGTATTAATATCAAAAGTACACTCATGTAAGGCCAGAATCTGGGCTCCTGTGTTGGAACAACCACTGGGTTTTATCAGAGCATTGATCTGCTCTTTAATAGAAAATGGTGAAAGATTATTGAAGGTTTATGGAAATCTTATCTTGTGTAATCAAAACTGACTGAATTGGATGATTGATAATATACTAATACATAAGTAATTTTTTTCTTTTTTTGAGGCAGGGTCTCACTTTGTCACCCAAGATGAAGTTCAGTGGTGCAATCTTGGCTCACTGCAGCCTCGACCTCCCAGGCTCAAGCAATCCTCCTGCCTCAACCACCCAGGAAGCTGGGACTATAGGCACATGCCACCACACCCAAATAATTTTTGTATCCTTTGTAGAGACAGGGTTTCACCATGTTGCTCAGGCTGGTCTTGAACTCCCGAGCTCAAGTGATCTGCCTGCCTTGGCCTCCCAAAGGGCTGGGATTATAGGCATGAACCACTGTGCCTGGCTAAAAGTAAAACTTGTTTTTCTCCTTTGAATAAAAATGTAATGTAGTATTAATAAGAGACGGGAAAAGATGTATTTCCTTTTGCATAGATGGCAAAGAAAACATAACAGGGAAGAGTTTGTCCCATGCTGTCTTTTTTAGGTCTCTTGATTGAGAACTGAATCTCCTCTATCAGAGTGATTTTTGCTTTTTGAAATCTTTGAATTATCATTTTGGCTAAATTAATTACCATTATTTTGTAGTGACCTGTGATTCTATTTTGATCATGTATTTTAAATCTTTCTTATTTTTATATCAAGTGTTTTAAACCTTTAATATTTGAGATACTTTCCAAAATTAAATTTTAAATTCAAAAATTAAGTCTTTTGACCCAAGCTAACTTGGGCATAACCGGAACCCCTGGAAGTCCAAAAGAGACACATTAGGCTTATTTGGTATGTCAAAGTCATAGGGGAAATATTGTCAAATAAGAAATGCTGTTTAACTTTCTTTGAGTTATATTTATAAAAGTGTATTACTAATGTGTTCCAAAATTGTATGAGATTCCTAAAAGTCTGATATGTCTTGGTATATGTTATCAGTATATCATTATCATAATTATTATGATAAACTGTTGTATGCCACACAAATAATCAAATATCCTAGTCAATTTCATCTTTGACCGTGGCTATTCTAAGCCTTTTATCATCCATAGACAATTTTTATTTTACTTTGATTCTTTTTAAAAAAAGTCATTTATAATCAGCTACAGTCCAAAATTTGCTTCTTCTTTAAGGATATTTTTGGAAAAAACCCTGACAAGTACTCTTGAATACAGATTTCTGGTAACTTCAGAGATCATACCACTGGACTAAGTAAAAGCTTCCAGAACTCTAATAAAAACTTGAGGCATTCATGAAGACTGATAACCCAACATCAAACAGAGCAAGAATTATTTACACGGGACTAAACTGATAGAGGATAAAAGTGATTTTTATGATTTAAAAAATTTGAAACATTGCTGATTCTTTTTATATTGTTTTTCAGTAAATTTTTTCTTTTGTCACAGCAACTGGATAAAGTATACTTTTGTGAGCAAAATTGAAATATTTGTCTTTCTCTTTACCTGATTTCTCCAAAATTTGCAAACTCTTTGTGAGTATTTATTTTTTATTTTCATTTTTAAAATTATTATTATTATTATTTTTTGAGACAGAGTCTTGCTCTGTCACCCAGGCTGGAGTGCAGTGGCACAATCTCGACTCACTGCAGCCTCTGCCTCCCAGGTTCAAGCAATTCTCTTGCCTCAGCCTCCCAAGTAGCTGGGACTACAGGTACATGCCACCACGCTTGGCTAAGTTTTCTTTTTTTCTTTTTGAGGTGGAGTCTCGCTCTGTTGCCCAGGCTGGAGTGCAGTGGTGCAATCTTGGCTCACTGCAACCTCTGCCTCCTGGGTTCAAGCAATTCTCCTGCTTCAGCCTCCCGAGTAGCTGGGATTACAGGTACCTGCCACCATGCCCAGCTAATTTTTGTATTCTTAGTAGAGATAGGGTTTCACCATATTGGTCATACTGGTCTCAAACTCCTGACCTCGTGATCCACCCACCTTGGCCTCCCAAAGTGTTGGGATTACAGGTGTGAGCCACTGTACCCGGCATAATTTTTATATTTTTAGTAAAGACAGGGTTTCACCATGTCGGCCAGGCTGATCTCCAACTCCTGACCTCAACTGATCCGCCCACCACAGCCTCCCAAAGTGCTAGGATTACAGGCGTGAGCCACCGCACCTGGCTATTGTAATTTTATGACAATATAGTTGTTTGCATAAGTTCAATAAGAATCTGTTTTCTTTCATAACAGGCCACATTGGAGACTCTGGTAATTTTACCAAGGCTTTGATTGAAATGATATATCTTCATATATGACCAGACTGCTTTGAGGAACTGAAGTTGACTTTACAGAGCCATAAAAAGACCCTTGGTGGCCAGGCTTGGTGACTCAGGCCTGTAATCCCAGAACTTTGGGAGGCTGAGGTAGGTGGATCACTTGAGTCCAGAAGTTTGAGACCAGCCTGGGGAACATAGTGAGACTCTGCCTCTATTAAAAAATGTTAGCAAGAATAAAATAAAATACAATAAAAGGGGGCCCAGCACTTTGGGAGACTGAGGTGGGCAGTTCACTTGAGGTTGGGTTGTTCAAGACCACCCTGGCCAACATGGTGAAGCCATATCTCTACCAACAAATACAAAAATTAGCCAGGAGTGGTGGTTCACACCTGTAGTCCCAGCTATTCAGGAAGCTGAAGTGGGAGAATCACTTGAACCTGGGAGGCAGAGGCTGCAGTGAGCCAAAATTGCACCACTGCATTCCAGCCTGGGCAACAGAGTGAGACCCTGTCTCAAAAAAAAAAAAAAAAAAAAAAAGAAGACTCTTGGAAAGACTGGACTGGCTTGGTACCTTGTCTACACAGTTCCCTTACAAGGTTCCCGACCTTGTGGTAAGTAAAGAATGTCACTTTCTGACAGGTCTAGAAACCTCAAGATATTTTGGAACCTTGAGAAGAGAAGAATTCGCCCAATGTGTGTGGGTATCACAGACATAGTCTGATGGTAAATCTTTGGTTTGGCTTTTTAGCTGTGAGGCTTTTAAAAGTCGAATCCAGGCCAGGCGTAGTGGCTCATGCCTATAATCCCAGCACTTTGGGAGGCTGAAGCAGGAGGATGACTTGAGCCCAGGAATTCTAGAGCAACCTGGACAACATGGTGAAACCCCGTCTCTACAAAAAAAAAATACAAAAAAAATTAGCCAGGTGTGGTGATGCATGCCTATAGTCCCAGCTACTTGGGAGGCCGAGGTAGGAGGATTGCTTGAGCCTGGGAGGTGGAGGTTGCAGTGAGCCAAGATCATGCCATTGCACTCTAGTCTGGGTGACAGAGTGAGACCCTGTGTCAAAAAAAAAAAAAAAAAAAAAAGTGAAATCCAAAATTCCTTATGAGAGTTCCAATAATGCAAATTATCAGGCCAAGTATACTACAAAACTTAATTTGCAAGTAAATTTGTCCTATCAAGACTCATTTTTGCTAAAAACAGGGCACTAGAGAAAAATTACGTTTCAGAAGAAAATCTTAGTACACCTGTTAGTGCTGCACACCTGTTATTCCTGTTATTAGATTCCAGCCCTGGCCATTGTTTTTGAGTTTTTATTATTTTCCTACAATTTGGACTAAATCCTGAATTATTTCCTGGCTACAACAAGGAAGGTTGTAGAAAAAGTTTTAGAAGCCAATTCCTGGATTTTAAAGAAGGCTTGGGATTTTCTTCATGATGTCTTTAGTTGACTCTCCAGTGGAATAGGTTTAGTGTTGTTCTGCCACAGAGATTCTCTTTTTCTACTTATTTATTTATTTATTTATGACAGAGTCTTACTCTGTTACCCAGGCTGGAGTGCAGTGGCATGATCTCAGCTCACTGCAACCTCCATCTCCCGGGTTCAAACAATTCTTATAGCTCAGCCTCCTGAGTAGCTGGGATTACAGACCTGTACCACCACACCTAGCTGATTTTCATATTTTTTAGTAGAGATGAGGTTTCACCATGTTGACGAGGCTGGTCTCGAACTCCTGGCCTCACGTGATCCTTCTGCCTCAGCCTCCCAAAGTGTGGGATTACAGGCATGAGCCACTGTGCCCGACTGCTTATGTCATTTTAATGTAAATCCTTGGTAAACAATTTAGGAACTGCCTCTTCTTTTTTCCTTAAAAACTTATATGTAACTGCTGCTAATCAGAGTGGATAGTCTCGGAAATTTGAATCTATGGTCCCAGTTGGCCATCCTCAGGCTTTAGGCTTGTATAAACTCTGTACTTAATCATATTTTCTGAATCTTATTACTTCAAGTTGACAGTAGGTAGTGGGTAGGGGAATGGACAAATGGATGGGCGAGACTCCTCAGCCAGATCTGTGGAAAGCAGCCTTGTTAGTTCTGAATAAGTTTTTCAAGCAGCCATTATTATAATTACAGCCATTTCATACGTTAAAAAAAGGAAGGGTCTGGTGGCAGGGACAGGTCTTGAGCCCACAACTCCACTGGATTGTCCCCCATGATCCCCTTTTCACCTTGGAGTTCCAAGGTTGTCACAATGTGGTAGTCTGGAGTCATGCAGTACCGGGGAAAAGCTCAAGATGAGGCCGAGTTCATCACGGAAGCGGTAGGATCAACATCTGTCAGACAGGAGGGCCTACCGTGCCCAGGCTTCATGAAACCCAGAGAGAGAGAAGGATTTGAGAGGAGCCTCCGAACAAGTCAGCTGGAAAGCTGGAGCAGGAGCCCAAAGCCCCTGGGCACTGTTAGGATTATACCTGGGTGAGGTTCTATGGTGACAATGGCTCTACTGGGGGCATCTGGCTAATGGAGTCCTGGGTTCAAGGCCTGACCCTGCCTCCAGAGCCTTCCTCTTGTGGCCTATAAAATGGCCGTAATAATAATGGCTCACCCAAGGCTGCCACGAGTAGGAATGGGAGTGTCTGTGTGGCCGGGGAGGGGAGAGGAGGTAGGTAGTGACAGCTGAGGCTGCTCCAAGGGCAATCAGCCGTCCTCAACTCAAGGTTCACAGGCCCTTTCTGTGGATTGCAGATTGAGTAAACCCGAGATGTCTGTGTGGCTTTCTTAGCTACATAGGGCTGTTGATTAAGAGGGAGAGTTTGCACCTCTGTTAACTGGAAGGCAGACTATCTTGCAGCCCAATGGCAGTGTGGTGGATCGGCCATGGTGGACACGGTCAAGGACATCTGGGTACCAGCCTGGGCTCCCAACCTCTCATTCCTAAGCCCACCTTTTCTGAAGCTCAGCTGATGGCTTTGGCTCGCCTTTGCCCTTCCTTGGGTCTCAGTCTCCCCCTCTGAACTTTCGGTCGACCGCTTAGACGCCCTTTGGGGCACCTTTGGTTTCCAGGTTGTAACCCGCCACTGGCCACGGTCAGGCACCTCCCCTCCTCGGCCGTTATGCCTGGACTGGCTCCCCCAACTCCCGCGCGGCGAACCCCGTCCACACCGTCCCCACCTGCACGTGCACCGCCGCCTCCAGCGCCAGGCCCACCGGGTGGCCACGGTGCGCGCCCAGCACCGGGCAAAGCGCGCACACACAGCGGTGGCAGCGGCGACAGAAGAGCTCAGCTATGCGGTCGCCATGCTCCGGGCAGCGCCAGCCGCATCCCTCGACAAGCTCCGACCCCCCAGGGGTCCGGCTGCTGGCCGCCGCGCCCGCCATTCATCTCCGCCACCTCCGGCTCCCCGGGGCACGGGGCGGGGCTCCCACGGGAAACCGAAACCTCGGCCGTGGGCGGGGCGGCTCCAGGCCCACCGGCCGGCAGCTGGGAGGATGATAGCCTGCAGGGAGCATCCTCCGACCAGCAGGGTGCTCCCTCTGCCCGCCCGGGCCAGGAGGTGGCCTCAGCAGAAATGGGAGGCTCCTAATGAGCCAGCCGGGAGAGGGTGGGCTTCCTGCTTAATGACGCTGGTCCAGTAACGCCCAGAAAACTGCAGCCCTGGTGATGGGACCAAAGTTGGCTGGACCTTCCAGGGGTGCTCCTCTCACTTTCCCTTGATCCTCTCTTGCCCTTTTCCCGGGAAAGATAATCATTCCCACAACTATAAGAAACCTAGTCAAGCTCAAATAACGACACAGAGATTCTCCAATTGAGTTTATTTCGGACTGAGCAGAAGGATTGCAATTCGGGAATAAATGTGCCATGGCACCCAAGGGGTAGGGGCGCGGAGTACGCAGGGAGGCAAAGGAAAGCAGAGGCTTTTAAAAGCAGAAGGAGGAGGATTGCATACATTGTTATAAAATAATAATACTTGATTACAAGAATTAATACGGTGGCTTCAATCCGAAAGTTGAACAGGCAGTTGCTGGGCAGATGTCCTCATATCGTGGCTTTTGTGCAATGCTGTGGTTCTTTGTGCAAGGCTGCAGTTTGGTAATTCCTGTTACCAGGCAAATCGTTGGTGAGGGCCCCCCACTTCATGGCCTCCCAGCACCGTTTAGTTATTTTGTTTGAGACAGGGTCTGGCTCTGTTGCCCAGGCTGGAGTGCAGTAGTGCGATCAAAGCTCGCTGCAGCCTCTAACTCCTGGGCTCAACTGATTTTCCCACCTCATTCTCTGGAGTAGCTAGGACTACAGGAGCACCATTTAGTTTGATTTTGACATAAGTGACTGTTTTGGTACTGACAACTTTCACAGACACACCCCCACCCCAAATTCCAGTTGCCCCCAGGCTCAAGTCTCCTATCCCACTTTTAAAGCCCTTGGCTCTTTCTTAAGATCCTTGGTCCCCTCCCTGCCTACGCTCCACCCTTTGATTTTTCAAGACTGGAGGACGTGCAGTTTACCCTGCTTGGAACATTCTTCTTCCCAAATGCCCTTTGCCCTGAGTATTCCAACTTATCCTGAAGATTTCTACCTTACTATCTTTGCCTCCAGGAAACCTTCCCTGCTTCTCCTTCCAGAACAGCCTACGTTTCCCCTATCCTGGCCCTCCCCATTCCTCCAACCATGACTGAAAACTGGAGAGGGCAAAGACTGTCTGTCCTGCCTGTTTTCCAGCTTGGTGTCTGACTCCAACAGTAGATAGTTAATTGGTATTTGTGGAACAAATCAAGACAAGGAAAGCTCCTTGTAGTAAAATGTCTGGCCAGATGTTTATTATTTTGTGACATTATTTCCATTGCACATTCCACATCTATTTATTTTCACTTTTATTTATTATTATTTTTCACAAAGGTACAAGGAATTTCAGAAACAACATTAAAACAATCATTCAAACTGTTTCAGGCACGGTTTCAATTAAAAGCATAGATTTGATTTCTGACTTCCTGTTTCCTTCTCTGATACAATCTCAAGTTTTGTTCCAGGAAGCACAATTACGGTAGCGTTAAGATGGATACCCGCCAAAGCTCATCTCCTAGTGCTGCCCTCATTCTCAGAAAGTTCCTGAGTCAACAGAAAGGGGACGCCCGGGGTATGGAATAAGGAGATGAGGGCATGCTCTGCCAACCGGCTGGGCCCTGAATGCGCTGGGCGAGTTCCACTACCTCAGCTCAAGAACATAAACAAAAACGTAATTTAAAAAACAGATGGTTTAAAAAAATATCTGATAAAAATTACCTATCCCTCTCCCTTGCTGTGAAATAATTTAAATAATTTACTCTAGATGTAAAAATTAAAAAAAAAAGTTTGTTCAAAGACACCTGTGTCCCGTTTTTAAGTGTGCAGTCTGGGTCCTTTGGGGTGGAGAGAGCTGGCCAAGGAATGGCGCTGTGCAGAGGCATACCAGGAAGCTCTCTGGATGCAACCCCACCTCTCCCGCTTGGCAGTCAGCGACCTTGGCATGATGTTTCTTCACTTCTCTGAGGCTAGGTCTTTGATTCTGAACATGGGGCTTGGAATACCTGCCTAACCTGTGTTAGAATAGCATGTGTCAGTGAGTGGAGGTGGGAGGAGTTTGTCAACTGTGAAGTGCTAGCCACACAGGTGGGAAAGGTAAGCCTATCCTGTAGAGCTCTGCTGCCCTGGCAATGCCTGGGATTTGGCCTTCTGTTCTGGAGCACACTAAGGCAATCTTGGCTGGCACATCAGACGGGAGTGAGCCCTAGTGACTGAGTAAATGGAGAATAAGACAAGGAACATGAGCATCTGGCCTGTGCAGACAGACAAGCAGAATAAACCATGGCTAAGGAAGGGGCAAACAGGGGCACTGAACCCCCATTGTGCTGCAGCTGCGGTTCCCAGAGATGTTGAGGGAGGGCTTGGGACAACACTTCTAGACTTTTAAGGAGCCACCAGCCAGGACTTAAGAGATCTGGGTTGAGTCCCAGCTCCTATCTGGAGCTTGCTGTCCTCTTCATCTTGAAATAGGTACACATGCAGTCTTCCATCCTCACTGTACTGCAGATCACCTGTGGAGTATATATGAACATACAGGCCCTACTCTGGAGATTCAGCTTCAGTTGGTCTGGAATGTGGCCTGGGCATCTGTATTTCCTGCACGTTCCCAAGGGGATTCTAATGTACACAGCTTGGGTTGAAACCTACCAGGCTGGATGGCCTCCTGCAGTCCCCATCTCAGCCCCAGAATCTAATCGCCCTGTGCAATGGAGATCATCTGCCCCTCCTTGGTAAGGATGGACCAGTTTCACTTCTAATCATTCCCAGTCTCTTGGTGGACTATTGTATTGACCACTGAACTTTAGAGTAGGGCTCGGAACACAGATTCACTAAGGAGGGACAAATAAAAGCTTTCAGGCTAGAAGGGAACTTTGGGACCATCTGGTCTTACTTCTTTACTTCGTAGAGTCATTTCAGAAGTCCTCCTGGTTAGGTGGCCAGAGGCTCTACTGGCATGCCTCGAGGGATGGGGGGCCCCTACTTCCTGGGGGACTCTTCTGTTAACTAGGGCTGAAATCTGCCCACATCATCCTGCAGGAGGAAGGCTGTGTACCTGAGGGCCTTGGTGGTGGCAGTCAGCAGTCATGGGCACAGCTCTGAAGTCTGCGTCCCTCCATAAGGGACAGCATCTACCCACATCAGGCTGGTTTCTGGTTGGAAAAGTTGGTTTGGGCCTCCTGCCTGTGCTGTAGAATTGCGTTGAATGCCCCTGGCCCCTTGCCAGTGTCTGTTAGTTTCTGCAGCAAACCCAGATCATCCCATAGGTAGTTTTCCCTTAGGTCAAGGTTTCAGGTGGCAGATCCTGCAGACAGCAGCTTGTTCCAGGGTACCCCTTGTTCAGATGAAGAAACTGAGACCAGAGAGGGCAGGACTTGCAAGAGGTCACTGAGTAAGCTGGGGCACAGTTGAGGCCAGAAGCAACAGATTTCTACTCTGTGGGCTGAGAACTGCATCAGACCCAAAACGACAAAAAGACAGACCCAGAAAAGCAGGATCTCAGCCCAGCCCTGCCGTGAAACAAGTATCACCTGCCTCTCTCTGGGCCTTAGTTTCCCCACCTGTAAAACGAGGAACTTGGGTCAAATCACTAGTTTTCAAACTTCTAAAATTTTTTTTTTTTACTAGCAGAATTGTTTTTCATATTAGCCCAACATATAAAATAAAAGGGAGCTATCTGTTTGGAACACAGTGTGGGGAAGGGAGAAACAGACTTCCTGCTTAGTCTTCCCCTATTCTCTCTCTTTTTTTTTTTTTTTTTTATCTGTTTGGAACATGTGTGGGGAAGGGAGACACAGCCTTCCTGCTTAGTCTTCCCCTATTCTCTCTCTCTTTTTTTTTGAGATGGAGTCTTGCTCTGTCACCCAGGCTGTAGTGCAGTCCACAATCTTGGCTCACTGCAACCTCTGCCTCCCAGGTTCAAGCAATTCTCCTATCTCAGCCTCCTGAGTAGCTGGGATTACAGACACCTGCCATCACGGCTGGCTAAGTTTTTTTCTTTCTTTCTTTCTTTTTTTTTTTTTTTTGAGACGGAGTCTCACTCTGTTGCCCAGGCTGGAGTGAAGTGGCATGATCTTGGTTCATTGCAACCTCCGCCTCCCAGGCTCAAGTGGTTCTCCTGCCTCAGCCTCTCAAGTAGCTGGGTTTACAGGCATGCACCACCACGCCCAGCTAATTTTTGTATTTTTAGTAGAGATGTGGTTTCACCATGTTGGCCAGGCTGGTCTTGAACTCCTGACCTCAGAAGATCCGCCCGCCTTGGCCTCCCAAAGTGCTGGGATTATAGGCGTGAGCCACCACGCCTAGCCTAATTCTTGTATTTTTAGTAGAGACGGGGTTTCACCATATTGGCCAGGCTGGTTTCAAACTCCTGACCTCAAGCAATCTGCCTGCCTCAACCTCCCAAAGTGCTGGCATTACAGGCATGAGCCACTGCGTCTGGCCCAGTCTTCCCCTATTCTCTGGACCACAGTTTGAAAATCACAGACAGGTCAACCGAGGTCCTTCCAGCTCTAGTTTTCTACTGTGTTTCTTCCTCTTGAGAAGTTACAGCTCATCATGGACCCTTAATAACAGAATTCAACAGAAGGCATCGTCTGAAAACAAAGTCAATTCAGAAACTGTTGCTGCAAGAAGGCAAATAGAAAAACGGCACCATGTCCCACTGGAATCTCTTTCAGCGATGGAGAGTTTTGTTTTCTGGTAAAAAATATAGAAATAGTGGTTGTTCTTAGGGGGACCTGTGGTTTGGTTCTAAACCTCCCCACGGAGCCGAGTGGTGTCCCTGAGGGTGAGGAGGGCAGAAATCTCTGCTCAGAGCTGCTCTGAGCCCATCCGCAAGTTTTTGATCTCCAGTTCCAACTGTTTGGCCTGGACCTCTCGCTGGGTCAACAGCTCCCGGAGCCTTCGGATCTCCTCCTGTTGCCGGTAGAACATCTGCAGCAACTGGGGAAGAAAGATTGGAAGGCAGGATCACCAGGGTGTCAGAACACCAGCTGAAAGCTAAACCGCTATCCCTCTTTGAC